ATTGGTCAAAAATTGCAAGAGAAATTAAAATAGTTGTTAAAAATTACTTCAGAGATAAAATAATAGACATTTCTCGAGAGATAAAACATTGTTTAAAAATTACACGAGAGATTAAATATTGTTTAAAAATGGCTTGAGAGGTAAAAAAGGGTGTTAAAAAATGGTCGAAGTATAAAATAGTATTAGAAATTGCTTGAGAGGTAAAATATTGTTCAAAAATTGCTCTAGGGATAAAAATACTGTTAGAAATTTAATGAGAGATAAAAATATTTAATAATTTTTCCAGAGAATAAATAGTATTATAAATTGTTAAAATCGTGTTCAAAAATTGCTCGAGGTAAAATAGTATTACAAAATGTTAAACCCTTGTTCAAAAATTGCTTGACGGATAAAATACTATTGAAAAATTTGTTGAGAAATAAAATATTGTTCAAAATTGATTCAAGACATACCTACTATTAGAAATTTCTCGAGAGATAAAACATTGTTTAACAATTCCTCGAACGATAAAGTACTATTAAAAAATGCTCGAGAGATAATTTTACAAACATTGCTCGAGATATAAAACATTGTCAAAAATTTATCGAGAGTTAAAATATTTTTATAAATTTATCGAGAGTTAAAAGAGATAAAAAAGTTGTTAAAACTTGCTCGAGAGATAGAATAATGTTAGAAATTTATCGAAAGATAAAATATTGTTTAAATATATCTCAAGAGATAAAAAAAGGTTTAAAAATTGTTCGAGAGGTAAAATAGTATCATAAGTTATTAAAATCTTATTGAAAATTAACTCGAGAATTAAAAAATACTGTTAAACATTTCTCGAGCGATAAAACATTGTTTAAAAATTCCTCGAACGATAAAATACTATTAGAAAATGCTCAAGAGATAATATATTGTACAAACATTGCTCGAGATATAAAACATTGTTAAACATTTATCGAGAGTTAATATATTTTTATAAATTTGTCAAGAGTTAAAATATTGTGCAGTTTGCTAAAGAGATAAAGATGAAGTTGTTAAAAATTGCTCGAGAGATAGAATAAATGTTAGAAATTTATCGAAAGATAAAATATTGTTTAAATATAGCTCAAGAGATAAAAAAAGGTTTAAAAACTGTTCGAGAGGTAAAATAGTATCATAAGTTATTAAAATCTTATTCAAAAATTACTCGAGAATTAAAAAATACTGTTAAACATTTCTCGAGCGATAAAACATTGTTTAAAAATTGTTAGAAAGATAAAAAATGTTAATAAATATTGCTCGAGAGATTAAATAGTGTTAGAAATTATTAAAATTTTGCTCAAAAATTGCACAAGAGATCAAATATTAATAATAATAGCTTGAAAGGTAAAAAAATTGTTCGAGTGATTAAATTGTGTAAAAAATTGTACAAACATTGCTCGAGGCATAAAAAAAAGTTGTTAAAGATTGCTCGAGAGATAGAATACTGTTGGAAATTTATCGAGAGATATCAAGAGATAAAAAAAGATTTAAAAACTGTTCGAGAGATAAAAGAGTATCAAAAGGTATTAAAATCTTATTCAAAAACTGCTCGAGAGATAAAATAGTGTCAGAAATTTGTCGAGAGATAAAATATTGTTTAAAATTGTTGTGTTCGTGTTCTCTATAAACCTTTTTTTGCTCTTTAATGACCATACTTCATAATTAGAAAAATCTGGTAATTTTATAGAATCTAGTACATTTTTATGAAATCTGGTACATTTTTTAAATAAATCTGGTACATTACAAAAATATATTCTGGCAACACTGATTACAGTATGTATGGCTGAGCGCAGCACGCTCTCCGCCTTTTGTCTCAAAAACGGTTGAGCGCCTAAAAAAAAATTGTCGCAAATTTTATTTGCTACAATGTTTATATTAAATATTGACCTCATTGGAGCTTTAGAAACCTAGATAACCGCAAAAATAGATTTTGGCGCAGATACAAGATTTTATGACACTTTTGAGACAGCTTTTAAAACGCCAAAATGAAGGTTTATACTAGTTTCCTGCTTATTATCTTCATTCCGAGGTTGGCCACTTTTTATGTTTAAGGGACTGTATTAAATGTATTGACCCTATTTAGGGGCCATCAGATTTCTGTTTATTATCAAATCTTGGTTCTATATATTTTTTTTAAACTTAATTTTCAAATATTTATCTTACAAACCTCGTACTATGTAGTAACTTTACGTAGCAAAAACATGAAAATAAAATACAGATAAATCGGGAAAACGTTTTTTTAATACTTTTTTGGGTGTTCAGGTTACATCTATGTTACATCTACGTAAGTAGGAGTTATATCACTAATAATTACTAGTAAATATTCGTAATGCAATCATTTTTTCTTTATTAAATCTTTGAGAAAATATTTTTGTCTTGGTCGTTGTTTATGTGAATCGAAATAAAAAAAAATTAACTGTTTGATTGTATCTACGAGTTCAAAGGATATTTCACACTTTTAATGTGTTTTCTACACCGACCAAATTTCTTGAAATGTTCAAAGTAAGCATTTTGTTCCATTACGCAATTGTTGTAAGTATACAGGGAGATACCGAAAATTCACTTTAAAATCATACAGGCCAATAAATTTAATTGTTAATAAATATCACTTTTTAAACTGAATCAGCTTTGAAGACAAAACATGTAAGGTCAATTCGGGGAAGTGCGTATTCGGGGGAAGTGCATTTTTCTGCTCTGATAATAATAACGGTTCATTTTATGCAGCAGTGGGTATTTTTGTGTGTTCCTTGGATACCTTCTTTTAGTGTGATAATTAGTTTGGCTACACTGCGTCTCACGTAACCAAACTTTGTAAATCTGTCAAAACAGTCTCAATTTAGATCTCATTCTACTCATGTGGTGCTCCGTTTATTGTACTTTTTTTCCATTCTAAATTTAATTTTTGTTTTTCAAAATATGGTAAGCATCTTAATTTTAAATCGTATTTTTGATATTTTTTTCACAATGTTTAATCATATTAGGCATACAATTAGCAAATATGCTCTTTCCCCTCCAAAATAGGTTAAGAGGCAAGTGCGTTTTTACACCATGGGGAAAGTGCAGATGCGTATGCCCCTTTGTCTAATTTTGGCGCTTTTTTTGTATTATTTTATGAAAATGCTTTAGTTTTGATTTTTAGAGCCAAAGTGGTGCCCAATTACAAAAGAAAAACGAATAAAGGCCAAAGATATACCGCTCAAGACCTCCAAAATGCAGCTGATGGCGTAAAATCTAAAAGATTGACATTGCAAGAGGCTTCAGAAAGATATTCTATTCCAAAAACTACCATATTAAAAACAGATGGGGTGTGAAGTCAAAAACATTTGGGAGACCAACAGCTTTATCTTCAGAAACTAAAGATCAATTGGGTAGACTCATTAAACTAATAAAAAAATACGGCTGGTGCTTGTCAAAGAAAAACGTTTTACAACTGGTGAGCGATTTCATAATTAAAGAAAAGATCCCAAACCCGTTCAAAAATAACTTTCCTGGAGAAGAGTGGTAGTCAGGTTTTAAAAAGAGACAACGCTTAAGAATTAAAAAAACGCAAAATGTGGAAGTTGCCCGAAAAAAAGCTTAAGATCCTTTTGTCATATTCAATTATTTTGACCAACTAAAACGCACTTTGGAAGAACTCAATATTGAATCAAAAAATGTTTGGAACCTTGATGAATCGGCATTTAGTCACGATCCGTCTAAAACTAAAATAGTAGGAGGAAAAGAACTGCCTGCTACTTGTAGTTCAACTGGAGATAAGTGTTCTTCATTGTTTATTTTCAGAGGAAAAAACATTTGGAACCAATGGGTTCCTAACGAAGATGAAGGATTTCCCGATTCAACATTTGTCGCTACTCAAAATGGCTGGATGGAGTCTTCTGTATTCCTGAATTATTTTGAACATTCCTTTGTAAAAGCAGCAAAGCCATACCCTAGTAATCCCGTTCTTCTTATCTACGACGGTTTAAAATTAGTAGAATTGGCTGTGAAAAACCACGTGACAATTATTTTACTGCCTCCTCATTTAAGCTATTTACTTCAGCCCCTTGATCTGGCAGTTTTCAAGTCCATTAAATCATCGTGGAATGAGTATCTCTGCAAAAAGTTGAGACAACAAGGCTGTCAGAAAATTGATAAACGATCAATGACGATAAAAATATGAGAACTATGGAAAAACTTCGATACGGACATTATTAAAAATGGATTCAGGAAAGCTGAATTTAATAAATATATCTTGCCAGAAAATTTTGACCAACTATCTTTGGAACGATGAAAATCATTGTAGCTCGAAACTGATCAAATGGCAGCACCCGAAGTGGACCAAGTTGCAGCATCCAAAATGGACAAAGTTGAAGCATCCGAAATTGATCATCTCTTACAACCTAAAACTAATATGGTTGCAGGTTTTGAAAAAGACAAAAATGACCAGGTTAAAGCCGTCGAAATTCATGACGCTACCTCATCGGGAAGCAACCTAGAGCAGGTGCAGAACTCTCTCAATACTTTCGAAAAATTGCTACTATCAACTATTTCGTCCCATAATCAGAGAGGTCCGCCAGCTGAGAAAACCAAATTTTATTTAGGGTCAAAAGTCATCACATCTCAGGAGTGTATGAAAATTTTGAAAGACAAGGAGGACGCCGAATAGCAAAAGAAAGCTATGAAAGAAATCAAAGAAAACCAACAAAAAACAAAAAAGGAACAGAAAGCCAAGAATAAAAAACCAAAGAAGACAAAAGAGAATCAAAAGAAAAAATCGAAGTTTGAATTGTCATCATCCTCGAATGAGGAAGAACTGCCATTTAATACGTGCATTGATGAAGATTTTGGAGAAGAAATACCCACTTAAACAGAGTTTGAAATAGACGACCTACCAATCCATCTCGAGACAGAATTGGAAATTAGTGATCCCGAAAACAATCTGGTTCCATTCTTAAAACCAAACGAATCAATAACTTTGGAAGTTGCAGAAACTGGTATTTGTTCGTTTGAAAGAGTTGATTAAGTTCCTAACTCCAATAATAAAGAAGATCCTTCTGAAGCTTCGGTTGTGCCAAGAAAACCAGGGGATTTCGTTCTAGTCAAGTATGAATCTACCAAAAAAACTGTGAAAATTTATCTAGGAGTAATCAAAGAAATATATGATTCAGAAGAGTGTTTTGTTAAATATTTACGCTCTGTAGATAAAGAAAAGAAGACTTTCAAGTTCCATAAGACTGATCAAGACACCGTGCCGATGCATGAGATTATGAATACAGATGTTCCGGACTTTGAGATGGACTCTAAAGGCCGCTATGTATTTAAGGACCCTGTGCTAGTCGTAGAATAAATATTTGTTATGTTAAAAGTATCTACCAAAGTTTGTATAACAGTTATTTTGTATTCTAAATGTTTTCTGAACGTTTATGTTTAATAATTTTTCTAATAAAATCTTAAGATTTAAAATCAAAATATTAATTTGACTAAGTATATCTTTCTTAATATTACAGATAAGTAAGTTCTGCAAAAACTGACCGATTCTAAATTTTACATATTTTTTGCTCTTTCCGCGGATAATCATCATAAGCATCTAAATAGAAAGAACGAGGTCTGAAATGCACTTGCCCCATAAACTGAGGTAAGTGCATTTCTGTGAGATTGCGACCAATTTTTTTTTTATAAATCCAAATTTTCAGGTAAAAATACTTTCGGATTATCATTACTTAATACGATAATCTCTAGTTTTTATCTTGATATTAAAGTCAACTTTGAAATTGAAGGTATGCACTTCCCCGAGTTGACCTTACTTATGGGTGCACTTTGTTCTATAGCACTAACCTTGTAACTATACAAGGTGATACCAAAAACTCCGTTCGGTCATGATCAAACTAATTAAATTGTTAAAAACATCACATTTTAAACTGAATCTGAACATGTCTTCAAAGGTTAATTTTTTCTGGGGTCAATATTCTTCCACTAAGTTCTTCACTGACATTACTCATTTGAATAGCCTTCTGGCAATTTTTAAAAGGACGGTCAAATAAAAACAATGATGCATCGGTGTTATGCCTCTCTATCAGAATATCATTGAAAATATGTATTGTTTTTAAAGTTCAGTCAGACATTTTTTAAACAATTTAATTAATTTGCTCGTATGGTTCTGAACTGAATTTTTAGCATTACCCTGTACAGTTAGAAGATGGCCAACGAAAAAAATTAACCGTTAAAGATATGTTTTGTTTTTAAAGTAAAGCTGATTCAGTTTAAAATGTAATATTTACTCGTCTTATTTTGAACGGAATTTTCGGAATCACCTTGTATAGTTACAAGGTCGGTGCAATGGAACAAAATGCTTACCTTGACTCCCTCAAGCGCATAAAGTAAAATTTGATGATATTATATCCGTGTGGAAAACCCATTGAAAGTTTACATGATAAAATTTCGATTTTTATAAATCTATGAAGAAACTATGTAAAATACAAAAATTATGAATGAAAATTTAAAACAAACTTAAATTGAGATCAGCCTCTTACTCCCTAATCACCCTGTACAAACTCTCCTCCGATCCGGTAAAATCTGTGAATGCTTTCGAGCGATAGCGACATCTCCCGTCATACGTCGTCGTTCTCCATCAGCGCTTCATCTTGAGGGGCCCAATGTCAATCAGCTATCAATACAGTCGTTTGTGTAAGTTCTTTATTGTTCCTGTTGGCCGGGTAGTAGACGCAAGGACCAGGACTGGACGTCCTGCCGTGACGACAACTGTTTCTCGTCGACGGTGCTCGGGTGGAGCCGTTGGTACGACCGAAGGTCGACGAACCGGTACCGTTTCTGCTGATGGTCGTACTGTGTCGGTGCAGTCTGGAAAAAATAACATATATTGATATACTTCTGCCTGATGGTGCCCTAATATTACGACTTATTACAGTGGAAAAAAGAGTTTACATATAGGTCGAAAATCAATGATGAAAGTTTAGAATGGAAACTAAATTTTAGGTTTTTGAGAAAATGTGTTGAGTTGGTTAATGTCATATTTATGACAGAACAATTACTATTGTTAAAGTGAATAAACTCATTAATATTTCTTATATTTTTAAATGATTTACTAACATACATAAACGCAGAGTTCACTGCTTCTTTTGCGATTTCTTTCAAGGAGCTTTCAAACAAATTTAATTTTCTCTACAACAAATTCAATGAGTTGTGTCTACGAAATCATTTAATAAAATAAATTGGTTGATAGTGGAGGAAAACAGAAGAATGAGCATTAGGTATTTAAAAAATGATGAAGGACAAAGGACAATTTAAATGTACCGTTTACAAGTAAATCCTTCTTAGTAGGTTCTCTGTTATCAGAAGGAGTTCTCTTAATGTGGGTATGTTTAATAAAAACATTTATCAATAATAGAAAAATTCTACAAAGGAAATTTAAAATATTGCATTTATTTTAATAGATATTACGCTAAATAAAGTATTATTTATTATTATTAGTATTATTATATAAACAAATTTACCTCAAACTCTGTCTATCCCCATTAGACATGAAACTATCCTCGTGGGTGACTCCATCTGGGGATTCCCTGCCGCTTCTGAACAAATTATTATTACAGAACAAAATCAGGAACAGTCTTTTGAATTTTTCTCCGAAGATAACGTAAATAATGAAATTAACACTAGAGTTTATCGTCACTAGCAGATTGCTGACTTGCAGCAAGTAGTCCAACTCGAAGGGTATGTTTACGTCGAAGCATTCAATGATGTTGATCACCAAAGGGAGCAAGTTGCAGATGAAGAAGACCACCACGACACCGAGAAGCATAGTGGCTAGGCCTATTTCGCGCTTCTGATGACGCGACAGTCTTTGACGTTCCTTGTTGGCCATTAGCACCTGAAAAAAATAATGCAGAATATTTAAAAAACATTATTTTTAGCATAGCGATGGGTGTTGTAAATATTGATAATGCTTATGCAAAAACCATTGAGATAGTAAGAAACCTGCCGAGAAAAAAGTACTTTTATGTAGACTAAACCAAAAAAACAATAAACAGAAGATTAACGATAGTGTACACTATGGTAATTTTTCTATGCTCTTTTTCCAGTAACTTTTTCTAATTTTTTATTAAGTTAGTTATTTAATGTTGAATTACTAAAACGTTATTATTTAAATATTTAAAATAATGCGACTACTTGGTGAATTTATATTCATGGCCAACCAATTATTTTATAAACTAGTGATAAATGAAGTCATTATTCAAGCATTATCGCAGTTTTAAACACAATGAAAATTGCGGCGACAGAAAATTGAAAATTGATGCAGACTCGTTGATGTCACGTTAAATTTACTACAGTTGACTAGGATTATTTTGTTTAAACAGTTATACCAACGCATAGGAATGGTTTCATAACAGAGTTGCACCTAAATGCAGGATAATAAAAGGAATAATACAATAATTTAATAGAATTAACTTAGACGCTTAATAATGTACATATATGAACTTAAAACTAAATATGAACTAAGAAAGGCATAAGTGTTAGGTTAAAAATAATAGTAAGAGTTGTGCAAAATACCTGTGTGCAGTCTGTCACCAGAAACGGCTTTAATGAAAATGTACATAAGATGTTAGTATACAGTGATCAATTATTGTTTTCAATGATTATCTCTCAAAGCTATTATTAAGCAAAACACGTAAATTGTTACTGGCCCCAAAGAAAAATTATTAAGAAACTTTGCCAACAAAGAATGATTGATTTATCAACTTGTTCATATCTTTCAAAATGCATATACAGTAATACTTCAAACTGTTATTAAAAAAAGTTTTAAATTCAAAACGGTCGTAATTGTAGGACAATATGTCGATCTTTTCATCATAATTATTGCCCATACTGATTCAGCCCTTCATCTAGTTGTTGGCTAAGGGTGTTTTCATAGATATAGAAGGTCCTTTTGACAAAACTACCTTCTATACTCACTAACTTATAGGAATGTTCCAGAAATGATCAGTGGGTGGATACATAACGCTCTCAAAGCGAGCAGTACAGATAAGTGTAAAAGATGTCCACAGGTTGGCGTGTTATCAACTATACTGTGCTTTAATAATGAGAGTCACTACACAACAGCATATGCAGATAACCTAGTCATTCTGCAAACAGGAAATTTTGAGAACATACTTTGAGAAAGGATGCAAGTAGCTCTCAAAATTATAGAACAGTGGTGCAAGGACCGTCCATTGTCTGTCAATACCAAAAAGACAGAAATAGTCCTTTTCACAAGGAAAAGGATGAAAATGGAATTAAAACCTCCAGAGCCAGAGCTCCTAAACACAAAACTAAACTTTGCAAAAGAGGTAAAGTACCTGGCTCTCACCTATGACAGCAAGTTAATATGAAACTCACACTTATAAAGTATAGTCAACAGAACATTGAGGTGAACCTGAGGTTTCTCCCCCAGAATCGTCTCATGGACTTACACGGCCATGATAAGACCTATGCTAACATACGGTGAAGTTGTCTGGGTACCGAAAACTCAAAAACTGACAGCTATCCGAAAACTAGAACGCATTCAAAGAACAGCATGTCTCAACATAACAGGATCCATAAAAACCATACCAACCAGAAAACCATGGAAGTCATTCTTAGTCTAACTCCCCTTGCTATTTACATCAATAACACGCCTCCGCACGATTGTAATAGAACCTGATGTGGGATATAGTGAGGCTAAATGTCGTAGATATCTTCCATAAGCCATATAAAATTATAAGAGACCAACTAGAAGAGCTGGAAGTGGCAGGTACGATTGATATCTACACCGACAGTTCTAAAACAAAACGAGGCTTAGGATGTGGAATATACTCCACATTCTTAAACTTCAACATAAAATGGACTGTGAGCAAAAGTGCCAGTGTAGTTAAAACCAAGCTCACAAGAATTATCATAGCAGCAAAAGAAATCACCAGAAACAATATCACCGGAAGGAACATGCTCATCTATACAGATAGCAGACAAGCACTACTCACCCTGAATAAACCACGAATTTACTAAGGGTTAGTACTAGAATGTCACTAAGCTTTGGCTAAAGTACCTAACGATCGACAATGTGGTCACGTTAATATGGATCAAAGGTCACGCCATATCAAAAGATAACCGTCTTGCTGATTCACTAGCCAAGAAAACAGCCAATTAAATACTTTTTGACCTGTCCCTTCTATTGGACTGACAACATCCATAGTGACCGACCTAATTAAAAAATATTACCTTCTTGAATTCAAGGAAAGATGGGATGAAACAGGAAACTGCAGAGAGCTAAGATATCCTAACATTTCAGCAAACAAATACTTGATTATGACTAGACAGAATGTATGCTTGATCATAGGCATTCTGACTGGTCATTGCCAAGTTTGGAAGCATCTCCATATCATGGGGTTGTCAGAATTCGCACTCTGCAGGGTGTGCTAACAAGAAGATGAGACCATCGAGCATATCTCTTTACGATTGCTCGACGCTCTCTATTAGAATATTTGTGGTCGGCGAGTTTTGGCTAATACCGTCCGATATAAGAGACGCACATCTTGGCAACGTTATCAACTACATTAAATTTGTAAGCTGGCTCACGAGCTAGGAAGTATCTACCATTCTAGGAGGATACACAATGGGCCTAATGAGGCTCAAGTGCCATGAGATAATCCACCTTCAACACGTTACAGGTACAGGGATAGACTATTAAGGGAGGCTCCGAGTAGAAGCAAAAATTTATAGCTCTAAAGATTTACAGTTGTCTAATGTCTTTAGGAACTCAAGAGAAACAGTTCGTTTTGCTTACGCATTTATTGATAGTCACAATATCTGATTTTTTAAGAAAAGGCAACCTCCAAACTACAAATTTATTAAATTCGAATACAAATATAAAAGAGGAGGATACGAAACAGGAGAAATATTTATTCTTGCGCTATATAAAGCAGAAAAAATGAAACGTCAATAAATCATCAGAGTTGGGTTCTGTTTAACACCTATCACGATAAACAGATCCCAGATACCACATATGAACATACGGCAAAGTATCTAGGAATAAATATGCAAAGCTTAGATGGAAAGAGTACATTAAGAAGAAAAGACAAATTTTAAATATGAAATTTTAAAAAATGTACTCGCTAATTGGCAAAAGTTCAAAATTATCAATAAATACCAAATTGCTCATATACGTGCAAGTCTTAAAACCTGTATGGACCTATGGTATACAGCTTTGGGGTTGTGCTAAACCAACTAATGTAGATATCATTCAGAAAGTTCAGAATAAAGTACTCCAGAATATTGTGTATATTCAGAATGCAGATTTACATAGAGATTTCTAGATAGACAAAAAAATCAACGATATGCCAAAAAACAGTAAGATAGGCTTCATTCACATTTGAACATCGAGATGCTTCAGATCCTGAACCAACATGAAATAGAAGATTGAAGGAGACAAAACCTTTAGTACTGTGAAATATCTGAAAAGCAGAGCATAGTAAAATAGTATAAGTTTTAGCACAAATAAAGAAAAAAATAGATGAAGAAAACAGTAGCTGATGATTTTCTAGTTTTAAGTTTTAGTTGATTTAGGTTAAAATAAATTTGCTGATAGATCTATGTTGATTAGGTGTAATATAACGATCTTTAAAAAAATTTAGATGTTAATTTCTTACCTGTCTATATATACAAGCATTCAGTACTGCCAGCGAGACGAACGGTACCAAGTACATGCATATCAAGTACAACCAATGTATATAAACGTGCATATACGTCTCGTTACCCCTAAGGGCAGACTCCCGCACACAGTACACCGTGGAATTGTCCTCCTCGCTCCATTCCTTCTGCACGGTGGTCTCCCACAGCTTCGGCAGGTTGTACATGGCCGAAAAGATGATGATGCCCACCACGTAGATTCTGGCTCTGCCATAGGTGCAAAGGGATCTGGCCCTTAAAGGATGGCACACGGCCACGAAGCGTTCTAATGATACAGTCACGGTGAGGTACACTGAGGCAGTTTGGACCACCGTGGCTAAAGGGTAAACTACTGGAGCTATGTGGGGAAGGACGACGTAGAAGTAAGTGAACAGCATACCGCTATAAGGGTAAATGCCTGAAAATAATTTTATTAGAGACGTACTAAGTTTACCAATTTTGGATTAAAATATTACAACCATACATTATTTGACTAATTGCAGTTAATTGTTCAGCGACCCATACTGGGACAACTCAAAGTTGACAATAAATAACAGACTTTATGAATTTTGTTCGAAAATTTTTGTTAGAATCTTTTTGTTCGAAGTAATTTTATTCGAAAACATTTTGTTTGAAAGTTATTTAGTTCGAAAACATTTTGTTCTAAAGTTATTTAGTTTGAAAACATTTTGTTTGAAAGTTATTTAGTTTGAAAACATTTTGTTCGAAAGTTATTTTCGAATATCTAATTTGAAAAAATATCCTTCCTAGACAATTGTGGTGAATTTCGAACATGTCTTTGTAAAGCCGAAAGTGCTCGCTTATTTTTAGGACTATAAGTCAAATTTGTAAGAAAATAGGGCTTTTGATTTAATGTACTTAAAAATTGCTGCGTTTGATCTGTTAAATGTTTATTGAAATAAAACTAATTGAAAAAAGATGAATATAATTTTTTTTTGAAATTTAATTTTTGTCAAAGTTCGTTTAAAAAATGTTTAATAGTTCCAGGCCGCACAATAATGTTTTATACTTTTAGATTTAATCATTTGAGATCATGAAATGTTTTAAATCATGTTTTTCATAAAAAAAAATGTTCAATCATTGCATTGCATTTTTTGAAACAATTAGATAATCGATAATCGAAGGATTAAAAAAAATCGAAGAAAATTACTTTTGAGCGAAATGTTTTAGAGGTTCGAACAAAATAACTTTTAAACAAAATAACTTTGTAACAAAATAACTTTGGAACAAAATGTGTTACTAAATGACTTTCGAACAAAATTCCTTCGAACAAAAAGAATCGAACAAAACTCGCCGATCCAATTTTCACTTCATATATTTCATTGTGGGGTTGTTGTTAGTGTAAAAGATTAAATTATACAAGTTCCTTTATTTTAAAACAATAGTATTAAAAAGTTCTAGAAAGTTAATATTTTAATTTTGGAAACTAATCATTTTACCAACTGACAGACTATACAGTTGGAAATTTTAACAAATCTATTGCTCCTACAAGAAGGTTTTGTAGTTTTTCTATCTAAACTAATTAAAAAATAATTGAATTTAATCTATGGATTAGTCTTTTCACGACTACATTATGATAGCGACCTTCTAAAATCTCTTACACGGAGGGAGCTCCTAATTGCAATAAAATGTTCTATTTACAAGAATTACACTATTTATATTGTAAAAATAGGTGTGCGTAAAAATTTTGACCTGTAAATCCTTAATTATCTATATGTATAAGAGGTCTATTTACGTTTGATTCTCAAAAGTCCCCTCCCCCTCCTTTTTTTTAAACGGTGATACTTAGACTGAAAATGAGCTATTGTAAGCTTCTCTGCTAGTGGTAACAGGTAACGTAATAGTCATCAATAAGGTACCAATAATATTAAATGGGACCTTATGCTAAGTGACACTTCGTTCGAAAGGTATTTAGAATAAAAATTTGGATTTACGGTGATTTTAAGCTTTGCAATTAATTAACACTCTCACCGCCACGGTAAATTCGGATGCCCTCCAAATTTTATTTTTTCAATTTTTTTTATTTAATAAGTTATGTCTGGTTATTTTAAATTATTAATTTTTTTTTTTAATTTTTAGCTATTTTTTCTAGGGTGTACAAAAATGTTACACTGGCCACAAAGAAATTGCTATCCTGCGACAGGTGTAACAATTTTGTACACCATATGGAAAATGTAAAATTTGCTTTCAGATTTGAATAGTTAGTTTAATTATCATGGCTAGACCACCGACACAAAAGGAGATGAAGGAAGAAATGAATAAGATTCTAGATGGTGTAGATGGCGCAGACGTTTATATGAGTGATGAAAACTTTGTCGATTCTGACAAGGACCCAAACTATAGTGATGAATTGTCAGCTGAGGATTCAGAAAATGATGAATTGTCAGCTGAGGATTCAGAAAGTGATGAAAACGCTCCTGGACCTTCTAAACGTCATAAAATAAAAACATTTCCAACATTAATACTAAGTGGGATTCATCTAGATATTCTTAACCCCAAATACCACCAACGCCAACGCTTGGGAGTAGATTCGTCTAGATCCACATCTCCTCAATTAGCGCATCCAGCTAATCCTACTGTGGCAGCTGGCCTGAATTTTTCTAAACTTAAGTGGTCGGATCCAGTAGGATTGCACCACCAGTTAGCTTTCACTGGATTAAGTGGAATGGATGTGAATATAAGTGCTCTCTAAGCCATGGCAGACCCAGTCGAATATTTTAGCTTATTTTTGACCGAAGATGTGATAAATTTGATGGTTGATCAGACCAATTTATACGCTGTCCAACAGGTATTGAAAGGAGATGCTCGTCCACAATCGCGACTTCATAAATGGTATCCCACTTGTTCCGGTGAAATAAAGAGATTTATTGGATTACTAGGTTGGATGGGCCTGGTAAAATTACACAAATTGAACTATTTTCCATACCATTGCCAAAAAAAGTTATGTCTCGAAATAAATTCGAACTCTTGCTGCGTTTTTGGCATTTTGCTGATAACGAAGAGGCTGATGCCCATAATCGTTTATGTAAAATTAAAAATATTATAAATAAATTCATCTGCAATTTTCAGAGCAATTACACCCCTGCAGACAAAATATGTATTGACGAGTCTGTTGTTCCTTGGAGAGGACGTATCTTGTTTCGTTAATACCTCCCCAAAAAGAGACACCGCTACGGCATTAAACTTTACAAGTTATGCACCGAAAAAGGTTACACTTACAAGATGTCAGTTTACATTGGCAAAGATTCTGATGGTGAAGCTTCTGCAACCGAGTTAGTTGTCATGAAATTAGCTCAAAGTCTTCTGAATGAGGGAAGAACTTTATAAGTAGACAACTATTATACCGGTATACTATTAGCTTTCAAACTTCTTGACAAGATGACCCCTTTAGTAGGAACTCTCCGATCAAACCGTAAATACCTTCCTGAAGAGGTTAAACGCACACAACTGAAAACGGGCAAATTAATTGCAAAGGTAACAGTGCTTAAATGGAGAGACCAACGTGACGTTCTGATGCTGACTACTCGCCATCGTGGGGATGAAACCAGGACAGTAAAAGTCAGACAGAAAGAGATAGAAAAACCAGTTTGCATTCTTGATTATGATCAAGGAAAATTCTCAGTGGATGTAAGCGATCAACTCGCTTCATACAATACGGCGCTTCGCAGGTGCACAAAGTGGTACAGAAAACTTATTGAAATTATTTGGGGTATGAGTTTTGTAAATGCATATCATCTGTATCAAGAAAATTCTGTGGGCCAAAGAAGTATGACGACCACAGACTTCAAAATGTCTATAATAAAATCGCTCATAGAAGGCCCAGTAGAAAATCCCCGTGACGCTAATGCTACTACCGACGTAGGAAGAAGGCGAACTAATGCCACAAATATTCACCACCTCATTCAACACCCTGCGAAGAAAAGAGCTAGTTGTACCGAATGCTATAAAAAATATGGAAAGAAGGGAGTTGTTATAAGTGGCAAAAGAAAATGGGCGTCTTTGGTGTGGAACATTTGTGACAGTTGTGAAGGCAATACACATTACTGCAAACCGTGTTTTAATGAAAAACATTAGTTGTGCAATTTTTTTTTTTTCATAAAAACAGTTTCTGCAGAGTTTAGATTTTTGTTTTTTGATATATATTTTGCTACGGTATTGTCAAGAAAACAAATTTATGGTTTTTTAAACAATTATAAACGATACATATAGGTGAACGTATGTAAACATTTTTTGAAATAAACACATATTAAAAAGTATCCTACAATACCTTTATTTTCATATCTCCATTTCTAACTTTAAAATCAGCACAAGCCACAGTTCTATGTCTTGATACAGCCCTACGTCATGATAATGATGACCCCATATGAAATTCACGGTTGGTGCAACAATAACGATAAATCTCAGTCTAATACAAAAAGCTGCTGGTGTACATTAATGTTACACCTTTGTCCCAACAGGGGTGTACATTTTTGTTACACTGGCGGTGAGAGTACTAAGTTTCAAATTCTTATAATAATTGTTCAACATATGCTCCATCTACTTTCTGGCAGTAAAACATTATATTATTAAACTTTTGTCGGCCCCTTTCAAATGTGTCAGGGTAAATAGCCCTATATTCTTCAACAATTCATTGTTTTTAAATGCCAATATTGTCCCTGCAGAAGAATCTAAAGGTTCGGAAACTGAGCTGGCCATTCTAGTGGACTGTGTCGTCTAATGCATCTACCAGGATATTCATCATCTAGTTACCGTCTTACTGCGAAGTAATAGTGTGAACAAAATTATTATTATTATTATTATTTGTATATTTTTACATACCACAGTTTTAGATCAGGTCCACTCTTCGACAATTATTAATCAGATAATTTAAATATTATATATAATAATAATACTCTCCCTAATTCACCCCCTTATGAGCGAATTTTAACACCTGAAGTTGACTGAACGACTTGTGTAGGGGAAGGGACAGATATTATTATTATTATTTGCCATGGCGCTCCAGGGCGACTTAAAGATGATCGATTGTGCCATTTGACTTACAGGTGAGGAAAACCGGGAAAACCTCACCCAATATCATTGAGACGGTAACGCATGGCGATTTTATTAATATGTTAACGATTCAACAATCAGTTAGATAGTCATATCTTGAAGTTGGATACATGTTGATGTTAAAACACAAAACGTTCTACCTCTTTAATTGTCAAAAGGATAGATACTAACGACTTACGGCGGATTTTTTAGAGCTATGATCATTTGTTTTTATATAGATTCCGAGCAAAAATGAAACACATATAATAACTGTCATGCTCCATGAACATAAGTCAATCGGGTCGGTGGTGTAGCGGTCTCACGCGCTTATATTCATTTATTCGCTGTGTGCATTTGGCTTGGAGGGGA